GGCTCTTTTTAAAGATGGTGGTGACTTTTTGACTAAGGAATTGACGACGTTGTTTACAAAGGTTTGGGAACTAGAGAGTGTACCAACGTCATGGAATGAGTCGATAGTTGTCCCTATCTTTAAAAAGGGTTCACGTCGTTCCTGTAACAACTATCGGGGGATAAGTCTACTTCCGATTGCGTCCAAGCTATTGGCTTCCGTCATACTTCGTAGGTTGTTCAAAACCCGAGAAAGATTGACTCGCGAGGAGCAGGCTGGGTTTCGTTCTGGTCGAGGATGTATTGATCATATCTTCACCCTCCGCCAAATGTTAGAACACCGCCATACTTATCAAAGGCCAACAATCGTAGTGTTTCTTGACATCAGGGCTGCCTTCGATTCGTTGGACAGGACTGTTCTCTGGGATTGTCTATTGAAGAAGGGTGTGCCTGAGAAGTTTATTAACATCCTAAAAGCCCTATATAAAAACACCTCAGGCAGAGTGAGGGCATACAACCACCTCTCTCCATTGTTCCATTCGAGCAGTGGGGTTAGGCAGGGTTGCCCAATCTCACCATTCCTCTTCAACTTTGCCATCGATGACATTCTGGAAACAGCTCTGATGAATGTAAGTAATGGTGGTGTGGATCTGTTGCCTGGAGAAAGACTTCTCGACCTTGAGTATGCGGACGATATTGTCTTACTGTGCGATAATGCCCAAGGCATGCAATCCGCACTTAATCAGTTGGCAATCAGTGTCCGTAGGTATGGTATGTGCTTTGCACCTTCGAAGTGCAAAGTACTTCTACAAGACTGGCAGGATTCCAATCCTGTACTCACCCTGGATGGTGAGCAGATAGACGTAGTCGAGAAGTTCGTGTATCTGGGTAGCTGCATAAGTGCTGGTGGGGGTGTGAGTGATGAGATCAATGCACGTATAGTGAAAGCCAGAGCGGCTTATGCCAATCTGGGCCACCTTTGGCGCCTTCGTGATGTTAGTCTGGCTGTAAAAGGTCGGATCTACAACGCGTCGGTGAGAGCAGTTTTGCTCTATGCTTGTGAAACCTGGCCTCTCCGAGTTGAGGACGTTAGACGACTCTCTGTGTTCGATCATCGCTGTCTCCGAAGGATTGCTGACATTCAGTGGCAACACCATGTCAGTAATGCAGAGGTTCGGCATCGTGTGTTCGGGCACAGAGATGATAATCAATTGGTGTCACCATCTTGAAACACCGACTTCGGTGGCTTGGACATGTTCTCCGAATGTCGTCCCAGAGAATTCCACGTCGTGCATTATTTGCCGACTCTGGGACTGGTTGGAAGAAGCGGAGAGGTGGTCAGTGCATGACATGGTGTCGTGGTATGAAGGAAAGCTGCAAAGTGCTGACTTCTGTTGGTCCTTTTCGACTACCTGGCTGGGGTCCGAGAGATGGCGCTACACAGTGGCTAGAGACATTATCAGATATAGCTCAGAATAAAGACCAGTGGCGGTCTTTCTATAACCTTTTTTTACTTTCTTCATAAAAAGTGGTTGTAACTTCCTTAACTGAAAGAATTCTTCTGGTTGTACCTTTCCGTTCCCCCATTATTACTATTATTATTACACTTACTTTACTTACTTACGCCTGTTACTCCTAATGGAGCATAGACCACCGACCAGCATTCTCCAACCCACTCTATCCTGGGCCTTCTTTTCTAGTTCTATCCAATTCTTGTTCATTTTTCTCATGTCTATCTCCATTTACCGGCGTAATGTGTTCTTTGGTCTTCCTCTTTTCCTTTGGCCTTGAGGATTCCATGTGAGGGCTTGTCTTGTGACGCAGTTGGGTGCTTTCCTCAATGTGTGTCCTATCCACTTCCAGCGCTCCTTCCTAATTTCTTCCTCTGCTCGGATCTGGTTTGTTCTTTTTCAGAGTTGGCTGTTGCTAATAGTGTCCGGCCAACGGATTTGAAGGTTTTTGCGTAGACAACTGTTAATAAACACCTGTATTTTCCGGATGATGGTTTTCGTAGTTCTCCAGGTTTCTGCCCCATACAGTAGAACTGTCTTGACATTTGTATTGAAAATCTTAACCTTGGTGTTGGTTGACAGTTGCTTTGAGTCCCAGATGTTCTTCACTTGTAAATATGCTGCTCTTGCTTTGCCGATCCGCGCTTTCACATCGTCATTAGACCCACTATGTTCATCAATGATGCTGCCCGAATATGTAAAGGTTTTTACATCTTCCAAATCTTCTCCGTCAATTGTGACTGGATTGGTGCATGCCGTGTTGTATCGGAGAATCTTGTTTTTCCCTTTGTGTATATTGAGACCTACTACTGTTGAGGCTGCTGCTACACTCGTCGTTTTCTCCTGCATTTGTTGTTGCGATTGAGATAGGAGGACCAGATCACCTGCGAAGTCTAGATCGTCCAGCTGCATCCTAAATGTCCACTGTATACCGCGTTTCCCTTCAGATGTTGACATCTTCATGATCCAGTCGATTACCAGGAGAAAGAGAAAGGGTGAGAGTAAGCAACCTTGCCTGACACTGGTCTTTACCTCGAACGAGTCCGTCAATTGTCCTCCATGCACAATTTTGCAGTTTAATCCATCATAGGAATTCCGTATGATATTGACTATCTTCTGAAGCACGCCGTAGTATTGAAGAAGCCTCCATAGTGTTGTTCTGTCCACGCTATCAAATGCTTTTTCGTAGTCAATGAAGTTGATGTAGAGTGATGAATTCCATTCAATTGATTGTTCCACAATGGTCCGTAGAGTTACGATTTGGACTGTACACGATCTATCCCTACGTAATCCTGTCTGTTGGCCTCGAAGTTGGGCGTCTACGGAGTCCTTCATTCTGTTTAACAATACCCTGTTGAAGACTTTTCCCGGTATTGAGAGAAGTGTGATGTTCCTGTAGTTATCACAGTTGCTGAGATCCCCTTTCTTCGGTATTTTGATCAGGAGTCCTTCTTTCCAGTCTTTTGGTACTTGTTCCTCATCCCAAATCTTATTGAAGATAATGTGGAGTATCCTTGCAGTTGCCGCTACGTCTGCTTTCAGTGCCTCTGCTGGAATGTTTTCTGATCCTGCTGCTTTGCCACTCTTGATTTGTCTGATGGTCATGCTGGTTTCTTCAATTGTTGGTGGGCCAACATCGATTGGGAGGTCCGTGGGTGCTGCTTCGATATTGGGTGGGTTCAATGGGGCTGGTCGATTCAAGAGTTCTTTGAAGTGTTCTACCCACCTATTTCGTTGTTCTTCAATGTTGGTTATTACCTTGCCTTCCGTGCTTTTCACTGGTCTCTCCGGTTTACGTTGATTTCCAGTGAGTTTCTTTGTTATGTCACACAGTTGTCTCATGTTTCCTTCTCTTGCAGCCTTTTCCGCCGTCGTTGCTAAATCTTCCACATATTTACGTTTGTCAGTTCTGATGGTGCTCTGTACTTGCTTGTTTACTTCTGTGTATTCAGCTTGTGCCTTGGCTTTTTCTGCTCTTGTTCGGCTGGTATCGATTGCTGCCTTCTTGTTCCTCCACTACGTTACACCAATATCTTCGTTATGGTTCTCTTTTTCTAACGCTCCTTACCTTTTTCTTTTTCCTTCTCTTTAAATTCTTATTGTTTTGTGTGGCGCATATATATTTGGCGCACTCTTGTACACCAATATTTATGTGTTCAAATAAATAAATAATAAAATGATGAAAGTGTATTCTTTAAAAACATGTCTATGACAGAGTTGAATAAAAATGGGGAGAGCGGACAACCTTGACGAACACCACTTGAAGTAATCAATTCCGATGAAAGTTTCCCATAAGCTCTGACGACCAGTAGTGTTCGAGTAGAGAGCCTGTACATGGTTAATCTACTTCTTTACTACGCTCTTCAATAACAGACACTGCCACAGAACCTAATCAATTTATTCAAATGCCACCTTGAGGTAATGTAATATAAGTAATCGAAAAGTATGTCTTTTTTCCAGAACGTGCCGAAGGTTGGATATTTAGTCTTTGCATCCACGTCCAGGTTTAAAACCAGTCTGGTTTCCTCGGATTTCGTCTTCACGAGCTCTCGGTAAACATCGAAGTATTATTGAGGCTAATATTTTAGACACTATATTAGTTGAACTGATTCCTCTGTGATTTTCACAAGAGGGTTTTTGTCGTTTCTTATGAACTAGGACGATTAGCGATCAAGATCAGTGAAATGGGAGTACGTCTAGTTGCAGTTGAACTCTAAGGGTGCTTCTTGCTGTGGCTTTTTTACGTCCAGTAAGGAGCAGACAAATGTGTTCTCGAACCAGAGCATGATTCAAGTCCAAACATGTGCTTCAGAGTGAGTGATAGTCTTCTGCGAACCCCTCCAACGGTGGTTGATGGCAGTGTGATCTGTTTGAGTTCGTCGTTGAGTCGGTTTTGGGGGTCGCCACGTGTGGCAGTTTCTCGTTATGTTTAGACTTGGTCTTTGCTAAAAATAGAGTTATCTGAACATAATTTCAATAGACGTTCTCCATTATCTGTTCGCTGAGTCGCAACACCGTAAGATCCACCTAAGTGCCTTTCGGCTTGGTATGTTTTACTTACTTGAGGATATAAGTCACTCGTCACTATTGCGTTTAGGTTTGTGGATGAAGTTGGATAGCTTCCCATAAAATTCCTCTGTAGCTTCATCCGAGCTGCGATCACTGGCAGAGACCACGAAAAGGTAACGGCTTGTGTCTCCATTTTCCCGGGTTTTTACTGTCCCGTTTAGTCGGGCGGTGCACAAGTGACTATCTGTTGAAATCCAGTCTAACAGAGCCTACTCTGATTTTGAACCCAATGCTATAACTACACCAGCGAGTTCACAAGAAGTAGAGTTGGGGTCTCCAGGTACTCGGGGGTGGGATAAATTATGCTGGTTATAATCTTATTATTATTTTTTGTTATTTTATTTCTGTTAGGCATTACTACTGTTATTTATTCACATATATTCTATAGTGTAATTCTTGCTTCCCTCCCTTTCTACCCGTTATTTTATGATTATTATTTTAGGCGCATTGCTCTGAAGGCTCTAAATGAACGCTTCGCAAAAGCTGATGTTTCTTCAAGGACACCAAATGAAGTCATCGAATGGCCAAGCCTGATCGATCCTGATGACACACAAAAGACGGATAACAACAAGTCAGATGAGTCCAGTGTGATAATCGAGTTGCCAACTATTACGAATCCTTCAACTACTGATACTTTAAATACATTAAACTCATCTAATATGTGAACCTTGAGCCAAGGAAATAGTTTTTATACAATCTATACATGAGATCATAGGTTTTGTACCATAGTTTTGACTTATTTTGTTCACTTTATTCTTCCAGTAACTTCTTTACACTTAGTTTTTTATATTGTAAGTTCTATTCGCTTAAACATAAAGTCATGTATTTTGTTATTAGCTTAAGCGTCTTTTTCCTCGTGTTATTTTTATGATTTTTGATTAAATATTTTGCTTTAGAGACCTTATCAAGCTCACTAGTGAGACAGTAGTAGTAAATGAAACTGCTAACGGAGGTCGAGATGTAGAGTGAAATCCAGTAACTTGTTTTAATTTATTCAGAATGAAGAATATATATCAACTGCATTACGAATAGGTTTTGATTTGTTAATGTAACAAAAGTAATAACTTGTTCTTCCTGTCATTACGGCTTTATCATGACCAACCTATACTGCCTATCTGTAGACATGATGCACCTCTTTCCTAGTTTTTTTTTACTACCGTCCAGTCTATTTTGATGGGTATTTGGTGGGCTTATATAGCTTATCGTTGCCTTGGCAACTGCGGATTCACTACCCAATTATCTGAGTCTCTCTTCTTGCAGGCAACTTAGTTGAAATTCTGTTCCCAATCAGCCAATTTAGATGGTATATATAGGGAGGTATAGAATTCTTCAGTAGTGTTCTCCGGTAGTTACTGGGGACGTTTCAGAACTGCTGAGAGTAGATGACGGTAACAAAGCTTCATCCACTTGTAATCTGAGTCATCGGTTTGATCCTTATATAAAAACTGAGGTACAATTGTTATCGCAAAGCGTTCGAAAATCGTTTTGTTGTTTCTTCAGATGTCGATTTCGTTTTCTATGTTGAGTTTACTCTTGGATGGTTTGAGCTGTGTTGGTAGGTTATATTAAATGAAACACTATCTGTTCTCATTTTGACCATTTTGAACTGCGAGATTAAGAGGATCACAAGATTTAAACCATAAATTAGGGGGCTGATGAACCACAGACTAGTTTCATCATCTGATTCCATAATTTGCAGCTAACTTAGTATATTTTCTGTGTTCTCCAAAAAAGTGACGAAATTATTCATACAGAGTATTATTATCTGGTTAAATGATGTGTATAATTTTTTATTGCTTTTTTCAAACTTCCCTTTTAGAAAATATATATCTCAAGTGGGTCCTAGAAGGTTTTGACAAATCTTAATCTTCAAGCTAAATGACTAAATTTTGTTCGACATTCCGTTGAAATTTGTTTCTTACGCTAACTAGAATATTATAGGCTCACATTCTACGCAACCCATTTTTATTTGACTCCTGTGTGGCGAATTTCGTTCTCAGAATGCACACATAACGTGATTTTTACTACTCAACTCTACAAAAAGTGGTTGAAACTGTTTTGATTCGTGATCCTATTGTGACTTCTAAGGTCATATACTTTAGTCGGGAAATTAGAAGTAGAGTTTAGGGGAAACTCAAGACCTTTCTTTTTTTAAAACAAAAATCTACAATGGCTTGTATTTTAAAATGTATCTAGTTATTTTATGTTATGACTATGTAGATGTAACGTCATAAGTTTTTTCCTAAAATAGTCCTAAATATCATCATTCGAGAATGTTTCTGACACTCAGTTGTGTTTTATGATATATTGAATAATAATTGCCTCTATATTTTCGAATGCCATTTTACTTTTCCAAGCGACTCTTGTCCGTAAACATGCGTGGAATTGAGTGCGAATTCAGACATAGGATTTAACTTCATTGGTTTTTTTCTTACGTTCGGGCAATGCAAGTATGTATCCAAACTTGATTTGATTTCACAAGACGAAGGCGATGCTGATTCTGTGTTACCAGTAGTCAGTTTACAAGAGAAATTATCCAGTCTAGCCGTATGATTGCTGGATCCATATCTTTCAGATTCAGATCCTGCTGCAAATAGGAGGCGAAAAACAATATTAAAACTACAACATCTTTCTGAACATATGGTTATGTGCATATCATACTGCAATGTGTTAATTTATTATTGCTGTAAGATGAAATAGTATCAAAACTATTAAAGTAATTTGGTCGCAAACTAGGTATGTATTGGATTATGGTTATGCATCATGTTTACCCCAAACGTCACATTTAATGCATGTCATGGTAAAGCCAGGTGGGAATACTTGTGATTTAGTTCAAACTCCCGATTTATTTGTTTGTTTTTGATTAGTGTGTGAAATCGTGTATTTGAAAGTAATTAGACATACATCAGTATTGTTTATGAAATAACTTTGAGCTGTGTTTAGCACGATAAAAAGGCCAGTATCTTTCGCATCATCTTGTGGATGAAAATGTACGTAAAATTGATGTTCTGTCTTGTTTTTATCTCCTGGTACTATTTTGAAGAAACCTAAGCATTTAAAAGTTCCTCCCTGAAATGAGGTAGTTCGTCATCTCAACATTCATTAACCTTTTAATCAACCTAAACTTAGCAGGATTATGTAAGTGCATATCAGTGAATGTGTCTCTAGTTTCTGCTTAATCATTGATAATCTCATGCTTTTAGTTTTTCTATCGAACACTACTTGTATGAGACAAAGATTCTTTATTAATAGTTCAAAAACTCAAATAATTACCGCTTCATGCTTCTTTTACTAAATGAAAGAGCATACATTCTTAATTTAACAATGTACATTGGATTCACACTCCCACTAACTGTGATAATTTACAGGTGCGTAAATTTGTTAACTAACGTCTAGAACTTTTAAGCACGTTAGTTTGTTTCCGAATAAACAAAAGCTAAGGAAAGATGACGGGTCTTCCGTTTTTTCTGCTCAAGTTCTTGGAAAGATGGTACTATTCCATTGTAAAACCGATCAGGTACCTATTTTTCAAGTTGCGAGCACCAGATCATACAACTTACTCATCGTACTCGTGTTAGAGCCACGGTTGCCCCCAACTTTATTCGTGAAGAACTTTAGCTAGAGTTATTTACGCCTGTTACTCCTCGTGGAGGAACATGGGTAGCCACCAGCATTCCCCATCAAAATTAGTCCCGGGAAATCCTTTCCAGATGTTATTCTTTTGGTGTCTGCTTCCGATTCTCGACGCAGTGTGTTCTTTGGTCTCCCGCTTTTCCTTTCCACTTCAGGATCCCAAGTTGGCGCCTGCCTTGTGATGCATTTTGATGATTTCCCCAGTCTATGTCCTATTCACTTCTAACGTCTTTTCATAATTTCCTCTTCAACTGGAAGGTGGTTTGTTCTCCTGTATTAGGCTGTTGCTGATGGCATCCGGTCAACGGACATTGAGTATATTGTGTAGACAATTGTTTATAAGTACTTGTACAGTACCGTCTTGATGTTCGTATTGAAGATTTTAACTTTGATACTGGTTGACGGTTGTTTTGAGTTTCATAAGTTCTCCAACTGTAGAGATGTTGCCATTGGTTTGTCAATCCTTGCCTTTACGTCTGCATCCGATCCTCCTTGTTTGTGAATGATGCTGCCCATGTACGTGGAAGTTCGCACCTCTTCCAGAGTTTCCCCATCAAGTATGATTGGGTTGGTGTTCTCCGTATTGTATTTGAGGATCTTGCTTTTTCCCTTGTGTATGTTGAGGCATAGTGATGCATAGGCTTTTGCTATACTGGATGCTTTGTTCTGTATTTGTTGGTATGTATGAGTAGAAGGGCTAGGTCATTCGTGAAGTCTAAATCGTCTAGTTGTTTCCAATCTATCTATTGTATTCTGTGCTTCTGCTAAGATGTGGAGGTCCCATTTAGTTAGAGTATGTCGTTAAAGGTAAAGCTAATAATTTTATCATTCGAAACGGATTGGATTAGTTCACAAGTCATGTTAATGTCTTAATACCATTTGAATTACTCATTGTTCACGGAAAGTCGTATTATTAGAAATTTTTTAAAATTCCTTATTAATGTTTGAGTTAACCATAATTATTCTAATCAGTATTTTTACCAAAAATTATAACTATTAAGATGTTTTAAACTTGTTTCTATTTCAGTGACTTATACTACATACATTTATGTTAACAACGATTACTGAAAGCCATCGGAACTTAATAAACAATAATTATGGTAACCATATAAAAGTCTTGAGTATCCACAAATAGTACAGTAATTTTCACTTTTTAGACTTTTGTTCAATCTGACTTTCACCTTGCATGTTATTGTCAAACAAGACAGGATATGAGATATGAGTGACTATTTGATAGCTTATTTTGAGGAAATCTTGTTTTTTTTTCTGGTTATTTATTCCTGATTATGTTATCTACTGGAAATCTTTGGTTACTGAAACTGGATTGATAGACTACTAGGTCTTTAGCTATGTAGTATAGCTAGGTCTTTAACTAAAGTGACAATAATATCAAGTTACCTGCATTACGTAATATTTGATCTGCACGTCGGCTTGCGAAATAATTACTTTGTATCCGATCATCTTGTCTAGCGTACAGTCTAGATTCTTTTTATTGGCCCATTTCAAATCTTTTATTGCATTATATTCTGCGTTACCATCTGTGGTTCCGTAATTTGAGTCATATCGATTAGACGAATTGTCTGAATTCACTGAAGGCAATTGTGTATGTTCAATGACCATTTGTGGTAGGATCCATTCATTCTTTTCTGCATCAAATCTATTTTTGTTTTATAAAAAAATATTTGGTGCACTCCAAACTTAACTTCAAAAGAACATAAAATATTGGATGAGTAAGTCGAAAATAAATACAGTTTTAACAGGAATTTGTATTTTTTAAGTAGTTGGGTTCCAAGAAATACAATTGATTTATGAATTCTTATAGAAATTTATATCAGTTTCCTATTGTCCATTTCACTTTCAGTAAGATATAAGTTTACCATGAACATCCGTAAACATGCTGTAGATAATATGAGTAAATGGTTAGTTGAGAGATAAAATGTATACCGGTAAAATCTAGTTTATGGATAGACAAAGGTCGATAGATACACTGAAATTGAGGAGTCTATAGTGAACGAAGACTTGAGGATGACCAATTTATTGTTCGATGACAAATCATATAGTGTCTCAGTAAAGCATGAAAATCATTCGTTAAATGCGTCATTTTCATATCTTTGAAACGCCTCTTGCAAACTTCATCGTTCATTCACTTTTGTTGTTACATTGATTGCTATCGGTTTTCTTCTCTTGCTTTCCCTTCATGTTGTCTTTAATTCACTCTTCTGTTGCCAGGCATTCCACTTTCGATTGGTGCTACATACTACTTATACCTGTCAGCATAAGTAGGATATATCCAAATTAATAATCCGAAAAATGGACAATACAAAAGTCTTTTAACGCCGGAGAACTGCGATTAGTATTTTCTACGCGCCCAATGTTTACACCGAAGCTAAAAGATGAATTACCTAGAATGACCACCTCATTTTGTATTTATCAGTTCAACTGCTCCTGTGGAGCGAGTTATATTGGTCGAAGTTCTAGGAATTCACATTCTCGTGCTCGTGAACACCTTCCAGCGTGGCTAAACAAAGGTTTGATGAAGAAGGTGAACAGCTCAATATTGGCCCATTTAGTACAAACCGGTCATAGTGCCAGTATAAACCAATCTTTCTCAATTATTTATAAGGTAATTAACTTTTTGCCAAAACTGGTCAGACTGAAAGTCCTTCAAACGGCTGAAGCAATAGTCCCTGTTATCTTTTTCATAAATCTTTGTATTATTATTATTATTGGTATTATTATTATTATTATTATTATTCGTATTATTGGTTAGACATCATTAATCTCCCCTATACATGATTCATTCACTTCGCATTCATCCCTCCGTATTACGTCTTACTTATTTGATCGAATTGTAATTATCAGAATGAGTTTTGTGGAGATTTTTAGGAAATTTCACAGGTTGAAATCATGAGTCAATTGAAGCTAGACCACCATGGATTGTACTTGCACTACTATTTTTCTCTCACCCTATTTGACCCATATTTATTCTGATCATAAATCTTAAATCTCACTTAACATATACGCAGATTCAAGTTAACATTCTATATTAGTCATATTAACATTAACAATTTTATTGTATTTTTTTTATCACAATCCTAAATTCACATGCTCTAAACGATGTACTTTGCCCTTAATCTGGCCATTTTTCGGATTATTAATTTGGATATATAATTGTAGAACCTGAAGAGAATTTATCGAAATGAATATTCTTCGTTCAAATATTAGTCTTTTAATATGACGTGGATCTTTAAGCGAATAAGTAGGATACACTACAAGTCATAAAATAAGTTATTTAGGCTGAAGTAAATACAAATGCTAGGATCATAGTCGACAAGGCGTTGTTTCCTTAGGACTGTCTTGAATTTTTGATACTAACTGTTCGTAAGAATACGGAAAGGTATTAATTAAGTTCTAAATTTCTAGTTATTTATGTAGGTTATGTGCTCCTGAAAAATAATTTCAGCGTGACCATACTGAAACATATATATATATATATATATATATATATAATAAGCATACCTATATATATATAATAAGCATACCTAGCATATTACTCAGCTACTCCAATAGTCCTATGTTCGTAACTTAATCGATTTAATTATCTACTTCTTACCAATAAATATCCTCCTAACCTGTTTATCACTCAGCTAATGGTTTCAGTTATATCTACTGGAGTATACTTGTGATATACAACATGGTCTATTTCAAATGACTAAACTCCACTATCCCCAGGTTATATGGATCTAATCACTGATCAATTGACGCCGTTGGGTATCTCACCTGTATTAGGAGCAAGGTAATTTATGTAGTACCAAATAAAGCTGCATTCAGTTCGAGGTTCGTCTTTGAAGACTGGGATATTTTCCTGTAGAAGCAAAGAGATCGAGAAGCTTCCTACTCTTAAACTTAATGTCGATCCAGAGCAGTTGTTGGGTACCGTCTCACATCTGACAAGTGATACGTGGTCTTGTTTAGATCTCCAGTTATTCCTCCTGGAAGTCATTTCATATAAATATGTGAAAAAGTTCACACTTACATGGCTGTTCGTTTGATTTTATCGATGTTGTAATAATTGCTATCTCTGCGTATGCATGGCTGAACCTTTTCTAAAATCATATTAAGCAAATTTATTTGTTGTTCTTGGCGTCTTATAGTTTCCAAATAGTCACTTCGATCTTGTTCAAATTCTGACTGAACATCTTTAATTTCCATTTGTAACGCATATACCTGCACATAAAAGCAGAAGGTATAAAATAAGTTTTAGGTGCAAGGATGTATGTCTGTTTATTTGCTCAGCAATTTACTACAATATTGGAGTTTGAGCAGTCTATAAAGCAAAGCAATAAGGAAACAATATTTTTTTATACAATCAACAGGTGATACCAACCTGTTTTTGAAAGGATGCGCTTTATAATATGGGATTAATTGTCTAACATTTGGTTTATAGATGGGTCAAATGTACACACTTCAGGTCCTAGAACATTGGGATACTTAGTGACTATTGATCATAATTATATTTCCTGACCTTAGGGTGTTGTTCGACACTGCTGACCAGAAGGTGTTTTAGGAATGTTTTTCAGTAAAAGCTGTACCAAAGAAATACATCAGCCTAGTAAAGGCTCTCTACTCAAACACTACTAGTTGAATCGGAGCTTATGGGGATTAGTTGTCAAAAGTGACAATATCAAATGGTGTTCGTCAGTCTTACCCCTTACTCCTCTATTAAAAGTTTCGTCAAAGAAATCCCCCAAAAAAGAACGTTTTTCATCTAACTTTTCAGGAACTGATCTTCCTCCTGGAAACTCAGTAATCGACATAAATTACGCCCATGATATAGTCCTATTTGATGAATATATTAATACAGAGCCTCATGGACACATTGAGTAGCAAAGTAAGCATAATTTTAATCCGTTTTTCTCCTTCTGAATGAAAAATGTTGCCTCAAGGACTGGTTGTGTCATTGCCTAGATTAATCATATGGAGTAAAATAGTTGAGTGCTTTGACCATTTTACTTATCCTCGAAGTATAATCACCCCTAATGCAGTGCTATCTGATGAAATTGTGGCATAGATTCATAAAATTCGATTGTTACTTGCCAACCTGCGCCACTTGTGGTGTAGGTGAGTTACCCATCTGAGAAGCAGAAGATGAGTTTAATGTGCAGCCGTCCTCTCTATGGTACTCTATGGCAGTGAAAACAGAGGACATACGTGGGCTGCAGGTTTGTGATCATAGGTGCTTCCGAAGCGCTCCTCGAATATAGTGAGTACTGCTGCGTTTTCGCATAAAGTGTAAGGCCAAGATAGTGATGCTGTCCATAACTCCATGAGTCTTCATTGACTATGCATGAGTAATTCTGATGTATGGAGATTACCTGGTTGGGGTCCGAGAGATAGCTGTGATTAATGGTTGGAGATGTTGGATGACGTGGCTCAGAATTAATCGCAGTGGCACAGGTACATTTCGCTTTACGTCTTGAGTCTAAGTATTACTTTATGCATACACGTTCATTCCTCCCCAAATGTTAAGTCTTTCTTACTATCACTGTTATTACGATTGTTTCGAATCCTTTGATTTTAATTTGATTAATTAAATCACTTCGTGGTAATGTGGTATTAGGCTTGGCTCAACATACATTTGTGTTAGGCTCCATTTTCATTACAATTAACTAATACAGTGTCTAATTTTACTGCAAAAGCTCAGAATATTTTGAATCTTCAAACTTAGTTAACACACTGGACTTATATCTATACGTAATAAATGATAGCACCATAAGTCTATATATTCCATTGTAAATCAGATGCACTCATTTACAACCGAATAAATGGTTATACGTCTAAGAAAGGGGGAGGTGAGAAAAATGATAAGGAAATCTATTTTCATTACTGAATAATATTATCGATACAGAATGTATATCGTGTTGATAATCTCATGGTGAATTTTCAACCAAAAGATATTACCTTCTGTTTTTGTGACTGTAGAGCTTTATTTTTGTAATATAGTTCATCTTGTATTGTTTCATAAATATTTATCATAATGCCATCATCTTCTAGGTTTGCATTCGCTTCAACTAATCGACGTTTTCGTTCTTCAGCATATGTTTTTCGCCTTGATATTTTCTCATTGACCTCCTTATTTCCAGCTTGCTCACCACCGACAATATCTGCTTCCAATAATTTCAATCTGTTGAATTGAATAAATTAGTTATCACCAGATAGTATCTAGCTATTCTAAAATTATTATTTTTCGAAAGTCTGTTCAGTTTCATTAAATATAAGAGCTAAGATATAACTAACTATCTTACTTACGCCTGTTACTCCTCGTGGAGGAACATGGGTAGCCACCAGCATTCCCCATCAAAATTAGTCCCGGGAAATCCTTTCCAGATGTTATTCTTTTGGTGTCTGCTTCCGATTCTCGACGCAGTGTGTTCTTTGGTCTCCCGCTTTTCCTTTCCACTTCAGGATCCCAAGTTGGCGCCTGCCTTGTGATGCATTTTGATGATTTCCCCAGTCTATGTCCTATTCACTTCTAACGTCTTTTCATAATTTCCTCTTCAACTGGAAGGTGGTTTGTTCTCCTGTATTAGGCTGTTGCTGATGGCATCCGGTCAACGGACATTGAGTATATTGTGTAGACAATTGTTTATAAGTACTTGTACAGTACCGTCTTGATGTTCGTATTGAAGATTTTAACTTTGATACTGGTTGACGGTTGTTTTGAGTTTCATAAGTTCTCCAACTGTAGAGATGTTGCCCTTGGTTTGTCAATCCTTGCCTTTACGTCTGCATCCAATCCTCCTTGTTTGTGAATGATGCTGCCCATGTACGTGGAAGTTCGCACCTCTTCCAGAGTTTCCCCATCAAGTATGATTGGGTTGGTGTCCTCTGTGTTGTGTTTGGAGATATGGCTTCATCCTCAACAATATACACATTATTATTGTGCAGGTGAGGAATGGTTGAGATTTACAAGAAACCGGAAATATAAATAATTAGATTTACTTTATTTACACTAATTAATGTATCTTTCGAATTTTATCTACCTATTTATATTCTTTACAAATCCTACTGTAACTGTATTTAGGCTTTTTATTGCTTATTGTTCTCTTTCACAATGACTTACTTACGCCTTTTACTCCTCGTGGAGGAGCATAGGCCGCAAACCAGCACTCGCCATCCAACTCTGTCCTCTACAATCCTGTCCAGCTCTTTCCAGTTGTTGCTCATTCTTTTCATATCCGCTTCTCTTTCCCAACGTAATGTGTTGTTTGGCCTTCCTCTTCTCCGCTTCCCTTCAGAATTCTAAGTTAGCCCTTGACTCGTGATGCAGTTTGATGATTTGCGTAATGTATGTCCTATCCATTTCCATCGTCTTTTCCTAATTTCCTCTTCAACTGGAAGCTGGGTTGTTCTCTCCCACAGAAGGCTGTTGCTGATGGTATCCGGCCTATGGATGTTGAGTATCTTGCGTAGACAACTATTTATAAATACTTGTAGCCTCTTGATGATGTTTGTAGTAGTTCTTCAAGTTTCAGCTCCGTACGGCAGAACTGTCTTGACGTTCGTATTGAAGATTGTGACTTTGATATTGATTGAAATTTGTTTTGAGTTCCATATGTTCTTCAATTGTAGGAATGCGACCCTTGCTTTGCCTTTCACAATGAACCAGTTACTTTATGCTGTGAGTTAAGTTAAAGTAATTAGATAAGTTTTACGCGTATTCAACATTGCTTACCATGACGTGCTATGATTCTCAAGATATAAGTTGGTTGGAAAACAGCTAAAGATGGTTGAACCAATATACGGAATGAATCCATGAAGTTGTAGATAAATGGATTGGTTGATACTTCATTAATAAGCTAAACGAGTAGTTAAGGACCTTAGATGCAACATCTCGAAATCACCGTCAGATTCTCGAATTTATTTATTCCCCATTTTTCATTGGATCTTGACCTAAGCGTTTGCAACTTATATTATTAATCTCACTTTCTTTTTATGTTTTGTCTCTTACTATCGTTGATGTTTCTTTGCTATAAATCTTATCAGTTTATTCTTACTGTAATGGTCCGAGATGTGATAACTTATTTTGATACATACGTATTCCAAGTCCTGTGTTACTTACTTTGAACTGATTTTTTCTTAGTGTTTTTCTGGTAACTGTTTAAGGTGTTTGAGATAAATCATAAGGTCGATGCATAAACGTCGAAAAACTGATCATGTTTCCAACTAGAAATTTAAATATGAGCCTACTGAAGCTAGTTGATTGATTCAAGGAGAAAATGAATGTACAAAAGAAATGAAATGATTGATTAGTTTTAAAAACAATAATAAAACGAATAGAATATCTTGTACGTAATTAACTGAACAAATTGTATAAAATTTATAAACAACAAACCTTTTCAGTAGTTCATCTTTTGTTACTTCCTCATCATATGTATCAATACGTACATTAGTGTCGTTTTTTGTTACAATTTGTTGTTGGATTTTATCGTCTGATATTTCTATCAACTCTTCCGTTTGATCTAAGTCTGTTATATGAGGTGTTACATAAATTAGAACAAATAACAAGAATAAAGGATGTGCATATTTGAAGAGACGATTACTGAGTCATAAATTCAAGGTGGGTTAACTTTTATATTGACGTAAGTAATACGGTGTACATTGAAAGTGAATACGAGTTTCACTTTAATAAATAATAGACTTGTATTTTTTAAATTACAAAACAAAATAAATATTTCTAGAAAGTTAAGATATTAGTGATTGTTTGGCTGATTGTTTCCAATTCCTGCCCTCACATAGTTAAAAAATTGACACCGGTGTTAGAACATTGAAGGCTACTTAGAGAACTACAAAATAAATGGCAGTTAGTGGGGTTTAGTAAACAAAATTTAACTTTTTTGGGAGAAGTATACGAGGAATTTCATTTGGTTGGTGTAATGCTGGCCGATTTTGTTGACTTAATGATTCAGTTCAGCAAAATAGTGGTCAAATATGTAACGATATGTTCATAATTTGAATAAGATTTTAAAATGTGTATCTGACATTCACACATGTGATTAATTTGACTATAACTATTAACTTGAGACTCATTATTAATCTTTAGTCAAGAGATAATTGTTACCGAATACCAAATCAACTGTAGCTGAACTACAACTATTTGTTGTTTTGTAAATGTGTATTTTCATAAGCTTTAAAGAGAATGTTGACTGACTCACGAAATCGATCAACTTCCACACAAATTAGGATTGTTCAAGCAGAGAGAAAAAAGTGCAAAGAGGTTTAAGAAGATGGTTGCATGATGATTGTTGTAGTGGAAAAATCACATGCAAAGTTTTGAGAGGAATATATTTTGTTGTATCACAATGTGAGAGCCTAATCGAGTGTGTAAAAACATATTACACCAGCTGGATAGATACATTTGTAAATAATCATTTTAAGTATTATCGACATTTCGAAAGTTGACGAGCTCAGGTCACACTTTGCGAAGGCGGTATATATATATATATATACATATATATTTTCTTACCACCAAAGTCTCAAATTCTCGGGTCATTACAATTAGTTGCTCAGCAACTTAATTGTTCTCTAAAGTTGATTTCTTTGGATATTTCTATAGACTTCATGTTTCCCTGGTAATTTCATAAGGTTAACCTCTTTATTCTTACTTATCTTTATAAGTTACAAGTACTAGTAATATGGAATTAACAATGTTTACTACATAACAATATTTTAATGGTTTACTTATCAAAGTAATTAATAATAATTATTTTTATCGGAAGGGTTTTCTGGAGATTGTAGTAATTCAAATAGTTGAGATCTTGAGTCAAATGAAGCTAGACCACCATGGAAAACCTGGATGCGCTGGAAGGCCGTTTCGTCCTACTGTGTGACTCCTCAGCACTAAGCATCCAGTGTGCTTCCAGGTTTTCCATGGTGGTCTAGCTTCAATTGACTCATGATCTTAACTATTGAAATTATTATTTTTGCTAATGTTAACAGTGAAGTATGTTCACAATTACAGTTATAGTATATTAATTTACATAGCAATAAATTTTTCACTTTTGATAGTCTGTGTGATTTGTAAATTAAGATTAATTCTACGATTGATTAAGTAAACAACGTCATTTTAAACAGTGTAATGGTTCACAATAGAAATAAAACATGGGCTGTTGAACTATTGATGAAAATAAACAATGGAACTGACTTACTAATCATAAATAACTTTGAAACTTACGCTGATTCGTTGATGGCTGTAAATTTTGATAGCTATTCAATTGCATGAGTTCGGCATCATATAATTCTTTTAGATGGGTTATATCCTTTAGCATTTTAGCTTTATCATCTGTTTCAGCACTATACTGGGCTTTCATAGATTGCAATTTTAGTTCATAATCCTGTATTTATTAAAAAAATTAAGATAACAGTGCTAATATTCATTTAAGTGGTTTTGGTGTGAGATAAAATTCAGAGAAAATAAACAGTGGAAAATCTTCGAAATTAATACTAAATGTTTCTGATTTACACTCATTTATAACATGCTAATTTAACGCTTTCGAAATAGTTCAAAAGCTGACTACTACGTGAAGCAAGCATAATAATAGTAATAATGTGTCCGGAACAATAATTAAGTTTTTGCAATTAAACCATTCAGATAATAGAACACAACACTAAAAGACGGCAGAAATTTTTAAAACAAAAGATGGAACAAAACGTCATTTATTTCAGGACCTTATCAGTCTGTTGTGTTATCGTAACATAACATAAACCGAAAATTGATCATTATTCTATATGAGTCATTAAAATTTTGTATCATTTAGCTTACACTTATTTACAATTTACTTACTGTAGGCTACTAGTAGATATATTAATTTACAAGAAAATATTATATAAGATAATTGTTTAAGCTTACTTTTCTTAATTTTTCTTTCTCAGTTTCAGTATCCTCTATTTCAATATTTTCTTTTCCATTGAAATATTTAAGATTTCCTTTAGGTGCCTGCATATTATTTAACAATTCTTTAAGATGCTTGATTTCTTCTTGATATTGACGTAGAAGCGCATCCTTTGGATCTTCATTGATTTTCGGTTTATTACGTATATTTTTGCTCGATTAGCATATCGTAAAGTACTCAATGTTTCGTCATAGTTATTGTCTGCTGGTGACAAACAAGCTATCATAAGGGTTTTTGTATTTCCTCCCAAAGAATCCTGTTTGAGCAGTTGTAAATGAGGAAACGAAAGTTCGATTGCCTGATGAAGATATCCTGGTAAAGTTTGTAAATATGTAATGAAATACGAAGTGCTATTGATTGAAGTAATTCTAAGGGTACCAGTTACTATATGGGTGTTAGATTACTAGACATAGACACGTTGACAAGTTGATTTATTTTAAGGATACTTAACTATTTAAAATCTAAAGGGTTTATATCGAGTCATTTAACCGTTAGATGAACAGCGAAACCAAGTAGATTTTAGAGATTATCCCGCTTACAAGTGAGCTGTTTGAGTAGCTGAACGTGAAGCTGAGCGTAATTTAAATCTATTCAGGGGGAAAACGATTATGTATCTCCTCATTTACCATATGGTTCAGCTTAGTATTTTTGATAGTTGATATATATCAATGTATGTAGTTTGTATTCGTCACGAACTGATATAAGTTGAGGTACCGTTGAAAATTGGGCAGGACTGGAAGGCCGTTTCGTTCAACTGAGCATTTGATCAGTAGTTCTGTCTCATGAAATATTTTCAGTTAAGATATCTGGATTGTTCACCTGAGCAGATCATTAATTTGATAGCTTCAGTAGTTCAATATCTTATCAAATCAATTATTCCATCAACAGTAAATCGATAAACGTTGAGGGAAGAGTTATGTAGTTAATTTTTCTGCCCTGGTATAACTATATGTTGCCAGTATATGAATCTAAAGTTTTTTGAATGAAATAAATTTTTTGCTTATTTATCAGTGGATTTTTGTTTCAAAATAAGCACACAATTATTTATTGATATATCCTGCGTTAAATCGTTGAATAACTTTTTTAGTCAATCAGTTATAAACAATGTAGAGAATAACATTTTCAGCCAATAAGTTTTGGAATATTTACACAACATACAAATAAAAGATTGAAATTAGGTGAAAATAATCTGTTGCTTCTTTACTATAGTATTGTAAGCGATCTCTTTAGACCAACTGGTTCAAAACAAATGTTAACGATACTTACAAAATGAAATCAGTGCATTAAAAAATAGGAACACTTTTGTAATTAGACGAACATATATATTTAACGGTTAGCTAGGATAGTATTATCTAGTTTAGCTCTGCATACAGTTACAGAAATATTTAATGGTTATCTATGTTTTCCTATAAATGTACTTACGGGGAATATCGTGTGGTGAGATAAGATATAAAAACAGTCACCATCTAGTTAGAAATACCCAATTTCTAACGATATTTAACTTAATACCACTAAAAGTCTTAGCAATTGTCCAAGTTTTTACTATTTATCAATATCAATAACTGGTTTTTTACTTTAAAGTTCAAAAGTACTTTGTTTGCAGTAAAGTATGAAAAGTGATTAATATCAAAAGTTTCTCATAACATTAATTAATTAATTGACTTTCATTCTTAAAATGTGCTTTATCAAATGTAAATGTAATCTTTTTTGTACAAAGTTAGTGTTAGTGCACAATTCATAATAAGCAGAACTTTTGTTCACTTGGTATTGTTTTACTTGAATCTTCCCATTGATGTTTTAGGACTGAAATTGATCAGTCTCTTATTGGCATATGTGCATACTGTGTGTATGCCTCGATATTGCCTTAATTTACAAGCATTATAAGCAAAGATGGATAGTGGCTAGCAGTGGAGTCCAGGAAGCGCGTTTCGTCCCATTGCACAAGCAAGTGGCTATCAGGACTCAGTAACTGAGTGGATAAGGCGATGGCGTCAGGAGTGAACGGTAGTGGGTTCGAGTCCCAGAGTGAACATCAACTCTGAGATGCAGTACATCCGGCTGGCGAGTCCTAAACAGGACGAAACGCGCGTCCTGGATTCCACTGCTAGCCACTATCCATCTTTACTTATAGAACTTTTGTTGTTTAGGTTAAATATTATGCCTAATCCATGAGTCATATTTCAATCATATCAAGTTGTTTACATAATCTATATTTCCATACTGAAATAACTAAAACCAAGAGAAAGTAAAATGATTTAAATGATTCAATACGTTATTCTAGTCCTTAAAATTTAAAACTCATCAATATATGAAGATGACAGTTACTCAAAAACATGATGTGTATTTTACTAAAAAAAGAATATACAATTATCAATATCATTGTTACAACAATATATAGTATATTTACAATATTTTTTAAAATAGAGAAATGAAGTTATAATATTCCACAAGGTGGTGTACATCGTCTTTTTAGAGAATAAATAACTTTTCTGTAGAAGCTGAAGTAGTAAGAGAGAAACATAAGCTAAGAATTTTAGGCTTGTTATTATCAGGTTTGTCACGGGTGACCTATAAGTTAAACCCCAGGCGGTAGAAAAATCCACTGATATGATCTGGCTGAACGGTAGCTGCACTTGCAACTGTATTATTAACTTAAGTCCTTAAGTGATTGCCAATTGAAGAAAAGACCAGTAGTCGGATAAGCAGACTTTATGTCATAAAATAATATGCTTATTCACAGAAAATGAATGCAAAATAAGCGTGATAAGTCACATGTAATTGAAGAGAATTAGCTTATAGATCATTCATTCCTCAATTAATAAAGAACTGAATGTTAAACCCATTTCTTGGAAATCGTATCAGATGTATACCTAATGGGTATTCATATGTATGTGGACGGGTTTGAATAGATGAGAGATAAATGGTGTGACTAAATGATTAGTTGTATATGTGCACATGCACTATGATATTGATGAGTTTGGATATAAGTTAGGAATTGATTACTCAAATCGGTTGGTTAGTGAAACCTTTCCTTCTATTAAGTAAGCTACGATTTATTATGATGTAAGTTGTATCCATTACCTGTATTTATTTATTTGTAGTTGGTAAAGCCTGTCGTACGAGTTGGAATTACAAACATCGATGAGGTATTTACCAAACGCGAGGTTTCACATTCTTCAGGATTATAACGAAGAGTCTCTGTGTTCTTTGATACAAAATAGGATCTAACTAAATCCCTCTTATATAAAGTACGTTACAATTAACATAGAATAATCTCTGAATGTCATAACTGTTATGATAACAAGTATCTTATATTCCTATTGAATCTTAGCATTTCCAAGTGTGTTAGCTGTTTAATAAGCAGTTTTAGTTCGGTTCTGTCTTGCGTTCACGGTAATTCCTCAGAAATGAAAGTCGCGTACCTTCAAGCTCTTATGATAAAATGAAAGCACGGTATTTATCAAAGCTAACGAGACAGATGATATCAAAAAACATTGCTTGCATCTCAGAGTCGGTGTTCACTCTTCGACTCAAACCAGTGTCTTGGGCTTCAAACACCATCGCGTTGTCTATTTAGCTACTGAATAAAAATAGCCACTAACTTGTGGGACCATCCAAACAATCAATATATGCGACTTAAAATTCATCCCACTGCACAGGTCAGTTGCTATTTGGACTCAGGAGCTAAAGGTACTGGGTTTGAGTCAAATAGTGAACTACTACCATGAAATTCAAGTGTATCTAGCCGACGAGTCCCAAATAAGACGAAACATACGTCCTGGCTGCCACTGCTAGCCACCATCCATCTCTGCTCATAATACTTGTTACTTACTGGTAATATCTATGCAATCCGCACGTATACCAAAAGCGACTGATCAATCTTTAGTCCTAAAAATCAATGATAAGACCCAAACAATCAGTATATTTGAAACATATTGCTACAATAAATTCTTGAAAATACTCAGACTGAATCGCAACACAAGATTTGATGCAAATGTTCAAAATAATTAAGTATTATTTAGATATAAAGGTCAGACATATTCTAAAAATCTATATCTTTTTAAAGGCTAACCTGTAACAGTCGAGTCAACTTGCTGTCACGGTAAGGTATATGTTTAACTTTGGAATCAACCAACGCTGAAATGACATTGCCCAATGCTGATAAACTAAGATTAATTTTCGTAGCTTCTTTAAAACGATCACCAGTTGCACCAGTTTTTGTTTGTCTTTCAGAGCCCGCCAAATCAACTAGATTTAATTTACCGGCCCTTATATGGTTGTAATCAAGCAGATTGTCACTTCCATCAATCATTTCTAAGTAGATCGTGAAAATAGAATGTGATCGACTACTGTCAGCGTTCATTAATGTTGCTCCAGTTGAACGATTTTTCCATCCACGTTCCATTATATTCTGAAATGAAATATAATTTAGACAACTTAATTTTCGTTTTTAAACAGTTTAGTTCCTAGTCTATGTACCAGCTTTTAAAAAGAATGTGTAAAATAGCAGAAGTACGAAATTTTGGATTTATATGACAGTTTTGTGTCAGCGTTCATACTAATGAAAATAAAAAAAGTCATAAGCGGATTGAAACTTAGCTTTACTCAAGATCTGCTATCTAGTATAAATTATGTATTTATATTTAAGATGATGAGTCTTTTGGGATAGACGGGGAGTGAATTGCTAGGTAGTAAAATGAACTATGAGAAATATCAATGTCGGGATTTGTGGAATCATGTTTCCAAAAAAAACTCACTGGTAATGGCAAAGAATCTAGTTTCGATTAAATTGACATTTCTGTATAAGATTCTGTCAACCAGGCCCGATGAGAAGGTGCAATGAAACAAAAAAAGGAATTAACCTGAGATATTTTAGCACTACAATAATGTATTTGATGATTCCCATTTTAAATGAACATTGATGATTCAGAAACAATTTTGACATTCAACTTATATCTTTATTTTACTTCATATAAACAAATTAACACCTAATTTCAACTACTGATAACCCAATCTTACACATACACACGCATTCATTTATTTATTTTCACATTGTGAGCGTTTCACATGATTCGCATATAACCGACTCATGTTATCCTATTGACTAGAATCAGCAGATAATTATGATTGGACTAGCACAGTATAGATTTGATTGTTAATCGCTATATATTTCTTTGGTGATTTCAATTTTGATCATTATCCTAAAGAAGTCCAGGCAAGATTGCTAGACGAACCGTTTGAATTATTTAGATTCTAATTGTTGAGATTAATTCAAATATAATTTTTACATAAAATGAATTCTCTATACTCGGCGCCCAATTTTTGTCAAACTAATATTGACAAATATTCGTAGAAAAAGGGTTAATTATTTAGTGAGTCATAGCAAAGCAAATATATATTCAAGGGAGTCGAGTTTAATAGTTTTGTAATTGACTTGTAACTAAATGCTTTACATGCCCAAATACCTCTGATTACCAAGATCGAGACAACAGAGAATGATTGACGAACTTCATGAGGTGAATTTGAAGGATTCTTTTTGATAACTACGTAAGTTGTATAAAAAATTTATTTCATATGATAATATAGAGCTTTTACCAATCAATATTCAAGTTTATTTTTTGAGGGTTTGGCATATTTGTGAATCGGTAAGAAACGCTCAATACCTAACTGATCAAGATAAACTGGAATGATCAGTATTGAAATCTTCGAACTTTTACATAAGCCCAATATACGTATGGAAAATTAAATGACTTAATCATTATCAAGTAGTTTCTTGGGTTTAATCTAAAACAAACATTTGTCACATCCTGTATTATTTATTGCTTCAATTATATTATTTCTCAGCTAGAAAATAACTAGTTGTATGTGGTATTTTGTTAAGCTTTTCTTTATGATGTTACTTCATATCCGTTGTTAGTTACTATAATAAGATTTCATCCTCAGTTTTTAGTGCTGTTGTCGCTCCTAAAACACAAACCACCCACAATTTTAGGTATAACATTCGAAACTCCATTTAGTTAAAATGACTTTTAGTGCGAGGCTCTGAAAATTAAGAAATGAAATGGTTAAAATATAGAAAAATTCGACGTCTTTTATTTCAGTTTTAAACAAAAGAGTAAAAGATAACATTATATTTCGTGCTGCTTGTTATTAATGCAGGGTTAGCACGAGATATCTTAGTGACCTACAAAGCTTTATATTTTTCTAAGGCGCATAACATCTAGCAAACATAAATCCATACTCTACTTTCAAACATTTATCTATGTAAAATATAACGGCTTGTTTTTGTTAATTTTGAATACCAACTAAGTAATTAGATGAGAATGTGTTGAGACTAATCATTGTTCCGAAAGCCTTCTCAATACAATTTTAGAAGTCAATAAACTTTTAATGATAAGCCACTACCTGACATTCTGCAACTGAAGTTATTTTATGCATTGACAAGCCAGCAACGTAAACTCCTTTATCTGGATTCTCCTTTAGCTCTAATTTAGCTCTGTAGTCATGTCCCAAGAGGTCACGAACTTCTTCGTTGTATATTTCCAGAAATGATGCGTGGACCAAATATTTTGTCTTTTCACTTACAGACATAGTCTCAAATATTTGATCAAATGCACTGCGATTTAAAAAATAGAAGCTACAAGTTATCGCGATACGTTGGTACGGTATCATCAAAATTCAGTGATAAAAATAGGATTGTCATAAAATTGACAGTGTCCCTGAATAGCAATGAATCTGTTATTGCGATTTAAATGCTCTACAATTGTCCTATTAGTCATTATATTTCGAAGCACATGGTGTAGCCCATTCTTTTAGAACTTGAGCTGGGCTTCACTTAAACTTATGGTTCGCTACTTCAAATGAAGTTATTTGTTCGAAGTCTAAAAACTAGTCAAGCTGAAAGCTTTATAATTACCATACATCACGATAGTCAGATGCAGCTAAATAGGGAATCTGAACTTGAGTGTTTGGCAAAAATAAAAACTACGGATCATGAGAAATTGGTAAGCTTTTTAAACCAAGAACATAGTCCATAAAATATTGTTCGATTTCGTTACTGATAATCTTTGTTGACATGAAAACAAGATTTAAAGGACAAAACTAATTCACTGTACTTGCTGTTCTTGCTATAGCCATTATATATATATATATATATATATATATATATATATATATATATCTTAAATCTAAGGGCAGCAAATGACTTGGGGGAAAATGAGTGATTTGTTGACTTAATGATTTATAAAGTGATCCCTTAAGGCGTTATATGAAAGTTGAAAACTCGCAAAACTTTATTTTGTTTTTAAAGACGTTTTTTGATACAAGACACTAACTTTTGAAAATTAAACCTAATTGTTTGGATGACCATGCGTTCAAACGCCTTTTCTGTCGACTAATAATTATTACATATTTATGGTGTATTATGTGCTGGCCGGTTCTGAGTTGTGAATGAGCTAACTCCTTTGATAAAATACTGAAGAAAACATAATGACCAAATATTGCTTTAGGTAACTGTATTTTATGCAAATGATTTTTCATCGTTAGCAATGCCCAAGACTAACTTTAACATTATGTAACTGTTCTCTCTTAACCTGATTTTCGATTTGTGATTTGAGTAGGAGAGACTTAGATGTTACGATCGCCGGCAACAGTTATTTGTCAACAGTTCAGAATCTTCTGCATATAGCGTTGAAATATGCTTAATGACCTCCATATCCAGTATCAACGTTCATTTTAAAATACTTATCAAGTTTATGAGCTATAATCTTGTACACATAGATTTTCTTTCCTAGCAAATGTCTTTCTAGCTCGGTACGCAGTTTAATTCAATGAGCTGTTTTAATATGAAAAGACCTTTATGTAATTTTCGTTTCATAACTTAATTTTAATTACCGGGGAATTACTCCTTTTTGGAATGGTGGCTCATATACTCCCTGCATAGTGTAGGATTTTCCACAACCGGTTTGTCCATAAGCAAATATTGTGCCATTGTAGCCCTCAGTAACTCCTTCTACTAGAGGGTAACACACATCATTGTATATTTGTTCGGTAGTTGAATTCTGGTCATATGATCCATCAAAGAAAAATATTTTTGGTGGGCGTTTCTTGTCGTTTGGGCTTATAATTGAACACTGGCCAGTATCGCTGAATACCTCAAGAATATTATCACATTTGAGCAAACGTTCACGTTCGTTTAGTGGTCGTGCTCTGACAACAACTTTCACAGCTTCTGAGCCCATTATTACACAAAAATTTACTATTGGAAGATATAAATAGATTTTAATACCGCGACAATACCTTTGAGATATTTGTAGGTTTTAGTTTAGTTTGTAGGTACGTTGTGTTTGGTGAATGGGAAGGATTATTATGAAAAAGACGGAATAAAGTGGATGGTTATGGCCTAATAAGCATTCGATGGACCTTCAGCTAACAACGAAAGCAATAATTAGCAATAAGGAATAGTTATGGTGTGAAGTTTGAACCGTTCGACGACGGAAACTAATAGCTCATAGTGTTAGACTTCGGACGCGTTACACCCAAGTCATTTAATTAGACGTTAAGGTCACTGGACAACTTGTTGTTATAGAGCTGGTGATTAAAACAAGATTCTGCAAACTTTATGAATGAGGCAGAAGACATTTGTGTCCAATAACGGGTGATCATTTTTACTTCTAGATAGAGGGATGAGTATACGAAACAAAAATGAATGAGTTGTATCATCAAATTATTTTGATATTTTTGTGACAATATAGGGTAAACCAAATTAATGTTTTGCTCCCGCTTGTTGATGTCAATACACGGTTTCGGTTATTTGATATCGTCATCGTTGGCAGCTCAGCTTCACTAGCACTAGTGAATCCACGGTCTAACGTTCAGCCTCTTCACATACTTTAGTGTGTAACGGCACATATCCCTACATGCCTTGTATCTGACAGAATGCTTTTGTACCATATGCGCTTGCAATCGAAAGGCTGTTATCTCTGGAGATCTCCTCGTCAATCGGTGGTAACCCAACGTTAGTCCATATCACTCATGCGGCTTCGTGGATGTCGAAATATAATCTAGAATATTCTCATATTTCGCTGGCTGTAGTAAAATTGCTGGGCACTCTCATCCTCCGCAGTATCTTGCCTATGACTAAGATCAATATTACTGTACTATGGTCTCACTATCTCATTCACGCCTGCCAGTGGATGTTCATGACATATTCATCCCTAGTTTGCAAACGATGAGGTTCATGTGTAAAACGTTCATGTTTAGCCACTCGTGACAATCTCATAATATTATTCGACATAATAAACTGAACATTACTATTTTATACAGCAAAACTGGGAAACAGTGATTGGAGTTTGTCAAATAAAACGCACATTTCTCTCATTGGAGTTTGTCTGGTTGTGTAGTGTTATCATGAGCTAGCTAGTTTACGTTAGATTTGGTCTCCATTGAAGAGACATTTCAGTGATGATCATTCATCATTATAAACGATTTTTGTGTAAAATCATGTTTGATCTGGTTATCAGTTGTTGTTAGTGTTTAGTGTAGCAACCGAGACAGAGTTTCATATTCAGTCGATTGAATTGTCTCCCACGTTTGGTCTGTAATCATTGGAGAGAATACTAGATGAAAAGTGAAGAAAGTAACTCAGACTTATTCTTGGCCCTATGTGATGTGCCGAAAACACTGGCAAATTCCTATCAGAAGGTGTGGCTATTAACTATATATTTCTAGTTCCGATCCCAATGGTGACTGAATCTGTTTTTTGCTAATGGTTATCCAATACTTTGCGTTTGTAAGCCTGGTCGTGTAGGAGGTTAGACCCATGTTCATTGAAGAACACGAGGGATCCACGAATTCTCCTGGAAGTCGAAGTGTCGTTCCATAAACGATTTGGGCTGCACTATATCCAATGTCAACTTTCGCCGCATTGCGAATACCTAGTAAGACAAGTGGAAGAACTCCGATCCGCCGAGAAATGTTTGCGGCTTATATTGAAGTTTTTAGTTGTCGGTGAAAGCGTTCTACCAACCCCTTTGCTTGTAGGTGGTAAGTGGTTGTTCGGAAGCGAGTGATTCCGAGTAGTATAATCAGACAATGGAAAAGTTCAGATTCGAACTGACGTCCGCGGTCTGTAGTGATAGTTGAAGGGCAGCCGAAGTTTGCGACCCATCGTTCGACGAAGGCGTGGGCTACTGTTTCAGCAGTGATGTCCTTGATAGGTACTGCTTCTGGCCATCGAGTGAAACGGTTCTTTCGGTCCTTTCGAATCTGGTAAAAGTCCTACCAAATCCAGATGAACATGGTCAAGACGAGCGTCGGGAGTTTTGAATGAACCTAAGGGACATATGTTGTATCTGACCACCTTAGATTTCTGGCGGCTTACACAGGAGCGTGCCCACTCCCTCCGTTCTGCTATAAGCTTGATGGTTGCATGATACCTGGATGATAAAGTTCGTGCAACGTATTAAAGACATTGCGTCCATAATGTTTCGGCACGATTGAACGATCCCTACATGTAGATGTGTTAAACAGTAAGGTTGTAGTGGCATTGGACCATAACCACACAATCCTCAAAGCAGAATACGAGATTACTCGGAAAATATATATTCAATATTTAACGCGGAGAAATACCTAACGATGGAGACGGCACGGACACGGAATTGAATGAATGGGAGTTGATCGGATGGCATGGCTCGGCCATGAAGGCGCGGTCCCTCTGAATGTTACCTTATATCTTCTACTCATATTAAATATATTATTCCTTCTCTAGCCTAACCTTGTTCTACGTCATGTATTGGTAATTGATACGATACAGTGAGTTGGTGTAGCCGGTGGCGTGACTTCCACGTAAGATCTTATGGATTAGGCAGTTATATCATGACAAATCTACAATTTTAGGATTAGGTCTATTATTAAAGCAGTACTAGTATCATAGTAGACCATAATTTTACAAGGTTACCTTGCCTGTCCCCATCTGTTTAATGCACAATTTAGTGGTTGTTGACCAAAACTCGTGCTGAAGATCAGTGTCTTCTTTTTGAAGCTGGGCGAGTTTCGGAAGGTCGATCCCTGTTACCGTAGCAATAAGTTCTTCAACTGTGGAGAATGCTTTTCATGCGGTGTCGTCCAGATTGATGGATTTCTCATTTTTACGAAGTTGGTCGACTAGCGGTTTCATAAGGGACGCACATTTTGATACGAACCGTCTATGGAAACGTACAAGGGCGTTAAATGTGCGTAATTGCCTGATGGTGGTCAGTTCTGGGTAATCCAGAATGGCCGCCACTTTGCTTCTAAGAGGTAGGATGCCTTGGGCGTCATTAGTGTGTCCTAGTTAGTCTAAGGAGTCGGTTCCAACTTGGCATTTCTGAACGTTTACAGTAATGCCATGTTTTTGCAGTCGTTGGAAAACAAGATCCAGATGCTGAAGATGTGATTCGCTGTCCGGACTTGCCATCAAACAGTCATCAACATACGCATGTACGACGTTGTGACCTCGAAAAACGTAATCTATGAAACTGTGGAATGTTTGAGCAGCATTTCTTAGACCGAAAGGCATTCGCGAAAATTCGTAAAGTCCGAAGGGAGTTATAATAGCCGTTTTCGGAATATCGTCAGTGGTCGTGGGAATTCGTTTATAAGTTTTAACCAAGTCGATTTTCGAAAAGACAGTTGTAGCTTTCAATTTTGGTGTCAAGTAGTGTATGTGGGGCAACGGGTGACGATCAGGAGTGGTTTTTGTATTCAACCACCGATAGTCATCAGTTGGACTTCGTTCACTGCTGTCCTTTTGAGGAGTCCCATACTAAGACGAAATGGCCAACCAGTGCTTCCAGTTTTTCCATGGTGGTCTAGCTTCAAATGATGCATGATCTTAACCATTGAAATTAACTCTAATTGTTGAGTCGTCGAAAAAAGTTGCGAAAATAAGGATGTAAAGAAAATGGAGGAAAAGAGAGTTAAAAGTGTTCTACATCTAGCCCTAGAAAAAAATCATTTGGGTTTTATACAACCAATAATTTGTTTTGATGAAAACTAAAATATTTACAGTTATGCTAGTGATTTTAAAGCAAAGAAGAAACCAATCAAATTTCATGATAGTTCTCAGAAATCATACCTGAATAAATATGCCTAAAAGTTTTACAAAAGTTACAATTGTGAAATATTTGAAGATTATTGAGTTCATGCATGAATCAAGATTACTGAATCATTTTAAATGTATTTCTCTTTGACAAAATCATTTTCATTTGATCGAATAACGATTTAGATGTTACTGTTCTAAATAAACTTCAACATATATCCTGTAATAATATAATATTTCCCATTATTGAGAATGATGCAATTTAATTGAAATATTGTTTTGCTTGTAAGTCTAAACAAAGCATACATTTGTTTGATAAATTTATAATAAAGAATTACACAATAGATTACTTATTTACTAGGTAAGTTGTCGGTGAACAAAAATGACTAAATACTTGTTACATAATTAAATATCTGAACTAAATTATCAAACTTACCTTTATACATTACTAAAACTTCTTGAATGAAATTGATTGCTTTATAGTTAAACTATCTCAAAATAAAAAAAAGACAACTAGCAATGTTGTTTTCCAGCTTCAAATGTTACCTATATAACTTAATACAAACTGATTACTTCCAGTTTTACTTCATATAATATAAGTTTATAAAAACATAGCAAAGTATAATTGAACCAGAAATATCAGACTTGGTTTGAACAATAACAATTCCTCTCTTTCATACAATTTGTTTCCTTTCAAGAAAATGACCTTCATCATTTATGTAGGCTAAATACCTACGGAAACTACTTTTTTCTTTAGTTGTATTCATATCTACGATATAAAATTATGCAATAAGTGTAACTGATGTGGATAATCTATTTTCTTTTTATTAATAGGATAAAAATTAATTTATAAAATTTAGTTCTGGACATTTAATAGTTTTCCACAATTGTCCAAACAATTATATAAAGTACATCTATTCACACTTGTTATTATAATGGTGCAATTGTCAATGATAAAACATTCAAATTTTCAATAATAATTTATGTTCTATGAACAAGAAATATCTATTTATCTTACTAAATTGTATATACCTTACTAGATTTGAGTGTAAAGACTGCAATTAACAAATTTCATTAAGAGCAACAACACTTCCTGGGACGAGGACGAATTTAACCGACAAGCCAAAAAATGGATAACTTGGTGTGTAAGATTCTAACGCTACTGAATACTGAAAATGAGATTAAGTTGAGAATGCGACCGAAATCTAAGCTTCTGCTCATACTTACTTAAGTCAGTTACTCCCATTGGAGCATAGGCCGCCGACCAGCATTCTCCAACCCACTCTGTCCTGGACCTTCATTTCTAGTTCTATCCCATTGTTGCTCATTCTCCTCTTGTCTGTCTCCATTTATCGGCATAATGTGTTCTTTGGTCTTCCTCTTCTCCTTCGGCCCTGAGGATTCCATGTGAGGACTTGTCTTGTGAGGCAGTTGGATGCTTTCCTCAATATGTGACCTATCCACTTCC